TACATATGGCGGGCAGAGTGGAAAACCGCAAGGCCAGTAAACCTATTGCAGGTGTAAGGGTGTGTAAGAAGGATGGAGTAAGAGAAGTTGGTAGCCGAGGCAGAGATGAGAGCCAAAAGAAGTAATTTTAGGTTCCGATGACAAGAGAGAGAGAGAGACGAGAGAGTACGAGAGATGAAGAGAGAGAGAGAGAGAGAGCGAGAGAGAGAGAGAGAGAGAGGACGTGAGCGCAATCTCCACCAGCAACAAATAAACCCATCATAGAAACAACACGAAAACGAGATGCGAGTCCAACGGCTGCGCACCTGAGCCACCTGGCCGAGGATCTATAGAGCGAAGGAGAGAAAAAAAGGCAACAAACATCCGACAGAAAGATAGACGTAGAAAGAAGGAACGCCCGAAGACAGGCCCCCCCTCCCCCCGCATCATTAACAATTCAGCCTCCACCTCCGAACCTCCTCGGGGTTGCCTGGCCGCCGAGTGCCCATACTAACGCGGTGTTCAGCGCGAGGCGGGAATGGCAAGCGCCGAATGCGCAAGAGAGGCCCGGCCGTTTCACAACACCTTCGCTCCTTCGCCTTGGACCAAACTCCAACACCCCCCCCCTCCTCTCTCCCCCAGAGCGAACTCGCAAAATACCCTTCTTTGCTCACCCGTGTTGGGCAGAGGGCGGAGGAGCTAGTAACGACAGCTTCCGAGGCTAGTAGCGCGCTTTGGCACAGGACGCCACCCGTTCTCCTGCACAAGGGCTACGGTAAAGCCTGCTAAACCTCCTCCTAAGAAGCGCAAGCTCGAAACCTCTTCTTCGACAAAGAGTCTGTGATTCTTACAATACAAACATATAAAATGATCAACATAAAGCAGACAAAAGGAAACCAAAGAAAGAAAGAACAGGATCGCCGCTTCTTTGTCTCTCTTCCCGCCTTCCCCTCCGCCTCTACCTCACGCGGCCCTAAGAGGATTTTCTGCGCCAGAAATAAACAAACCTCCGTATTATGACGACTTCTGGGGGAACGTGACAGCGCATTAAACGAGCGCGAATTAGCCGCTCGTAATCCCTCGGCGGACTCCCCGTCTCCCCGCGACGGCACTTCCCTCCGCCCTGCCTCCCGGCTCCGACCTCCTGCCGGCGCGGCCTCTCTCCGCCTCGCCGCTCCCCTGCCCGGCCCTGTTCACGCGCTGCCTCTCCACTCGCTTCGCTCTTCCTTCTTGTCTCATCCCCCCTATTTTCTCTTTTTATATGCTTATTTGCGTCGCAGATAATAAATATACACCCTGTAAGTTGTAGATACTGCGTACATTGCGTTTGTGTGTGTGACGCAAGCGTGTCTTTGTGCATCTCGACATTCATTACACATACAACTAAACCGATAAGTAAAACAAATAGCAGCAAAACAAAGACATATAAACTTATACAAATAAATAAATAAAAGCAAATGAACAATACCAGCCATATCCCAAAAGACAACCATCCCCCCCACGTCATCCCTCTCCGCTTTCCACCCACTGAATTTTCCCGAAAAGCCTCCCGAAGGTAAACAAGGGCAGGCGGAACCGGCCGGCTGCCCCCCCCTCCCCCCACTAGACCTCCCCCGATCTGCAGCTGTTGCAACGGCCTCATGCAACCCCCACATACGCACGCACGCACACACAAACACAAACCTCTCAAGGCCATCGGACTGCAAACAGACAATTATCATATCTCGTACCGATTAACCTGTGCCCCATACCCTCCCCCCTCCCCACTTCCGTACCCTTTCTGCCATTGTGCTCGCTTATCTCCCTCACTCACGATCACTCTTCATCCTTTCCCATTCTCTTTCTATCGATGGAATGGGGGAGGAAGGGGAGAAGAGAAAAGCAGAAGAGTGAAAGAGAGAGGTAAGAGGAGGAGGTGGAATAGGAGAGGAGGAGGAGGAGGAGGAGGAGGAGGAGGAGGAGGAGGAGGAGGAGGAGGCAGGAGGAGGGAAAGGCGTAAGAGGAGAAAAAAGGGATGAAAACAAATACAGAATGAGAAGAGAGACGACGCTACCCCCCCCCCCCGTCACACACACGCACAACAGGTTGATCAAGTTCATTACACTTGCATCGCTAATCACCAATGCGGTAACGGTCCGAGGCGGAAGCAGGAGCGGGCGGCGTTATCCCGGCAGTGAGAAGATCGGCCAATCAAGGGAATAACGGGAATGACAAAAACACCCCCCCCCCCCCGCACTTATTCATAAAAAAGCCGTCCTCGTTCCAGCTGATTACAAGACATGCCCATTGCCATCTCGATTTCTCTTCCAACCCCGCCCCCGGTATCCCTCCCCGCCCACGCCGATCCCGTGATAGCTGGCTCTAGAACAAAGCGCGGGCAAGTCAGCTGATTACACGCCGCTCGTAATCGCCTCGGCCGGGCAGGCTCACGGCGGCCCTGGCGCTGCCCTCGCCGCCGCCGCCGCCCGTCGCGAAATACGTATGGAATGAATGCATGTGAGTGTGAGTAAATAAGTGAGTGAGAGGGTGAGTGTGAGAGTAAGTGTATGTATAAGAGTGTGTGTGTGTGTGTGTGTGTGGTGTGGTGTGTGTGTGTGTGTGTGTGTGTGTGTGTGTGTGTGTGTGTGTGTGTGTGTGTGTGTGTATGTATCTAAGAGTGTGTGTGTGTGGGTTGAGTGTGGGTGTGGGTGTGACCGTTGGGTGTGAGTGTGAGTGTGAGTGTGAGTGTGGTGTGGTTGATGTGGGTGTGGATGTGTGGATGGTGTTGAGTATGCGTAAGGTGTGTGTTGTAAGTGTATGTGGTAAGTGTATGTGTGTAAGTGTATGTGTGTAAGTGTATGTGTGTAAGTGTATCTGTGTAAGTGTATGTGTGTGCATATTAGTGTATGTGTGTGTTTTAGTGTATGCGTGTATCTTAGTGTAAGTGTGTGTCTAAGAGTGTGTTTGTCTAAGAGTGTGAGTGTGAGTGTGTCTAGGTGTATGTATGTGTAAGTGTATGTGAGTGTTAGTGTATGTAAGTGCATGTGTGTCTAAGTGTACAAAAGTAGGTGTGTGTGTATAGAGAGATAGATGTGTATGTATGTATGTATACATATCTGAGTGAGTGAGTAAGCGTGTGTGGTGGGAGTGAGTGTAAATATGATGGAGAGAAGTGGAGAGGAGAAAGAAGAAAGAAGAGAGAAGAGGAGAGAGGAGAGAGGAGAGAGGAGAAAGAAGAAAGAAGAGAAAAGAGAGAAAAGATAGAAAAGATAAAAGAGCGCGAGTGTGCGTGCTGCCGTGTATGCATATGGGTCCGGGCGGGTCCAAACGTTTGCAGTTTCCTGTCCAGAGGCACACAAAAAGACAAGAAATGAACACGCAAGATGCAGAAAGCAGGGAAGAGGGAAATTCAAAAACTTCAATCGCCCCCCCCCTCTCCCTCTTAGAAAAAAAAGTCCATGGCAGCCTTATTTGCGTTATTCTTCCTGAGAACCAGTTTAACCGACCTCGAACTGCCCTGCCTCACCCGCCCCGCATGTTGCATGACCCTCGCGTTCACTCACCGATTCAGCTGACTGACTGACTGACTGACTGACTGATTTACTTCTTGAACGACTGACTGCCAGGAGAGGAAGGAAAAGAGAAGGAGAAGGGGAAGAGTAGGAGGAGGAGAAGGGGGAAGAGGATGAGGGGAGGGATGAGTAGAAGGAAGAAAGGGAGGAGGAGGAGAAGGTGGACGAGGAGGAGAGGGGGAGGATGAGAGGAGAGGGGGGAGGGAGAGGAGGAGGAGAAGGGGGAGGGAGGAGAGGAGAAGAAGAGAGGAAGAGGATGAGGGACGAAGGAGGAAGGAGAGGAAGGAGGAGGGGAGGAGGAGGAGAGGAGGAGGAGAAGGAGGAGGAAGAGGAGGAGAGAGGAGAGAGGAGGAGAGGAGGAGGAGAGGAAGGAGGAGGAGAAGGAGGAGGAGGAGGAGGAGGAGGAGGAGGAGGAGGAGGAGAGAGGAGGAGGAAGAGGAGGAGGAGGAGGAAGAGGAAGAGGGAAGGAGGAGGAGGAGGAGAGGAGGAGAGGAAGGAGGAGGGGAGGAGGAAGAGGAGAGGAGAGGAGGAGGAGGAGGAGGAGAGGGAAGGAGAGGAGGAGGAGAGGAGGAGAGAGGAGAGAGAGGAAGGAGGAGGAGGAAGGAGGAGGAGGAGGAGAGGAGGAGGAGGAGGAGGAGGAGGAGAAGAGGAGGAGGAGGAGGGGAGGGAGAGGAGGAGAGGAAGAGGAAGGGGGAGGAGGAGAGGAAAGGGAGAGGGGAGGAGGAAGAGGAAGGAGAGGAGGAGGGAGGAGGAGGAGGGAGGGAGGAGGAGGAGAGGGGAGAAGGAGGAGGCGAGGAAGAGAGGGAGGAGAGAGGAGGAAGGAGGAGAGGAAGGAGGGGGAGGGGAGGGGGAGGGAGGGAGGAGGAGGAGAAAGGAGGAGGGGGGAGGAGGAGGGGGAGGGAGAGAGGGAGGGAGGAGAGGAAGGAGGAGGAGAAGGAGGAGAGGAGAGGAAGAGATGAAGAGAGAGGAAGAGGAGGAGGGAGAGGAGGAGGAGGGGAGAGGAAAGGAGAAGGAGGGAGGAGGGGGAGAAGAGGAGAGGAGGAGAAGGAGGAGAAGGAGAGGAAGGGAGAAGGAGGAGAGGAAGGAGAGGAGGAGGAGGAGGAGGAGGAGAGAGGAAGAGGAGAGGAGGGAGAGGGGGAGGGAGGAGAGGAGGAGAGGAGGAGAGGAGAGAGGAGAGGGGGGGAGGAAGGAGAGAGGAAGAGGAGGAGGAGGAGAGAGATAGAGTTATTTAGCCTACGTCACCGATAGCGCTTATCTGTAACGAGGCTGCTGCGGGAGGTGAATCAGCGAGCTGGTCATCGGTGGTCTCCCTACGTCATTCGCTGATAGTGCAACGAAGGCCATGTTCATAAAAGTAATTCGAAGCGTGAAGACTTATCTTTTCGAATCCACAAAAAGTCATAGTCACAGAACGAAGCAGATGATAGGAATATTATCATTAAAGGTAAACAAATTACTCTCGTAGCTTACCTTGAGTCTGTTGATTTCTATCTTGAGGGCGGCAATCTCTTGCTTCTTGCTCTCGGCATTCTTCACAAGGTCGGATACGGTCTTCTCCAGCTGCGCCTTCTCAGGGAAGCTCCCCAGGCTGCTGGAAGTGTTGGTGGCAGCCACGGCAGTGGCAGGGGCGCCTCCCGTGGGAGGAGGAGGGTGGCTGGGCATCACGAGGGTATCGGGAGGCTGTGTGGGCTGGGGCGGGGCGAGGACCCTGGTGGATGCCGGGGCGCTGGCGGCGACGGCGGCGGCGGAGGCGTTCTCCTTGTTCTTGGCGTTCTCCATCCTTTTGACCGGAATGCCCAGCTTCGAGCTCGGGGGTCGCTTCTCCTCCTTGACGGTGGGCAGAGGCTGCATGTCAGGGGAGGTGGCACAGGAGGAGGAGGAGGACGACGAAGAGGACGAGGCCTTCTTGCCCCCCTTAGTCGTCGGCTCCTTGGCGTTCGAGAGGTGCTCCTTGGCTGAGGAAGAGGAGCCCTTGGTCCCGTGGTGGCCGGAGGAACCACCGTGGTCCTTGGACATCCTACGGAACAAGGATTTGAATCTTAGAGACATGTTGGCGGTACTAATTAAAAGTCGGTAGAGAGAAAAGGAAAAGTAGGTGAGTGACCACAGCAGTCTTCTTGGTACTGCCTGGGAATGATGGTCAGCGGGCAATTACGAAGGGCATGACCGCGCCGCCTTGTGCTGCTGCTGCTGCCGCCACATCAAGTTCCTGCTGCTGCGTGAAAAGATATTTTCAGGCCCCGCCACCTTCACTCTCGGCCACACTCGCCAGCAGGATCATGGTGCTGCGGAAATCTATTTTGCTTACTTCTTTACCCCGTTCCAGTTACACTAGTTATCACCTTTCGACACAGCTCACGCGAATAGGCCTTTATATATATTTTCTTGTATCCTCTATGAAAATGTATCAAGTCTATCACATATTTCGCACGAGCACATTAATGGTATTCCAGTCCCAAGCTTTACAGCTGATATCTAGAGGCGTTGAGCACCGCATTAGCCACCGCCGCCACCACGCAATCTAAAATCTCTTATCGTGGGAACCTACAGGGTTATCGCTCTGTCACTATCTCACTCGCGTATCTTCACGGCCACGACAATCAGTTCTAAACACGTAACACTTTTCCCTGTCACTGCTACTCGAAACTGCCACTCCGTAACGCTGGTGTGAGATTTGTAACCCAGCGTGTAGGTCTATCTCGACTGTTTCCTCCAAAAAGTGACTTTCAAAACGTGTTTCCTATCTTATTTTCCTGTTAAATATATGCGTTTTCTTTAACATTCAGTGGCTAAACTCCATGTAAATGGCAATCCTAGAGGCGTCCCCATACACGAAGGACGCGTTATACGAGCCTAGACACGGCTCTTCGCTCCCCACCACAGCAACCTCGGCACTGCCGAACCAAAACAATTTGCTGCGAGGCTCCTCATGCTGGCAACCCTCAGTTACCGCAACAAAATTAACTACCAACTTATTTCCACGCGCCCATATCCTCCCCTGCGCTTGTGAATATATCGGCTAAACTGATTCTAGGTTACAAAATTCCTTAGGCTGAAAAAATATGATTATATTCCAATAACACGCTTATAGGCGCACAATAAAAGCGAAAAAAAAGGTGAACCGGCAAATGTCAGCCGAACGAGCGCAGTGTTGCCATCTCGTCGGGCAGCCACGCGGCGGGCAGGTGGTTGGTGGCTAGCCCGACCGCCACTTTTGAATGGCTTACTGCACTATATGTGCACATACGGCCCTTACACTGGCTACCGTTACCCTATCGATCTATGGGAATGGATGGTTATAACAGTTCCACCCAACAAACTTTTATCTGTTCAGAAAGAAAACAAAACGCGTAGAATTTGAACAAAGGCTGTGGCAATTTCGGAGCAATCAATAGCTTGATCATTCTATGATTAATTTAAAATACATCAAAATTCTGATAGAATACCAACTGCAAAAAAGTCAAGCATCGTCCATTCTTAAGACACTACCTAAATATATGCTATAACCCGTATGCGATCCCGAATTAACATCCTCAATCTAACCATTTAAAAGCTTTAAAATTCCTCGCATTTTTTCCAGAGCATCTCCGTGATGAGTAAGCAGGATATATGTAGATGAACCTCATTTCATTCAAACCGAACCGGATACAATCCTGACTCGAGGGTCGTGACACACCGAGCCACACAGAGGAAGCAGAAGAGGGGAAAGCTGGAAGAGGGACAAAGAGAAAGAAGAAGAGCTGGCGGAGGAGAGAATAAGAAAGAGGGCATGAGGTGTCCCACAGACGCAGCAGCGGATTCCAAGGGTGACAAGGTCGCCCATTTTCTCCGCTTCCGTTCCCAGGGAAGCTCCAGGGCACGGCCTCTGGATGCGCTGTGCCTGGCGGCGACCCTCGCTCCACGCCGTTGCCATACCACGGGTCCTTCCTTAGGCCTATCATATTCAATGTAATTACTTTGTTTAAGTCAA